GGAGGAGGAGGAGGGGGAGGAGGAGGAGGAGGGGGAGGAGGGGGAGGAGGAGGAGGAGGAGGAGGAGGAGGAGGGGGAGGAGGAGGAGGGGGAGGAGGAGGAGGGGGAGGAGGAGGAGGAGGAGGGGGAGGGGGAAGAGGAAGAGGAGGAGGAGCGGGCGGCGGCAGTGGCAGCAGGGCCTACACACCAGGGCCTGAACACCACACAGGACTCTAAATGCATGGAAGTACCATGTGAGAAACATCAGCTAATTCCTCCAGTTCTCACGTATCTGTGTCCGTGCCACACAGAGAAACAAGAATGGAGACTTCACATCTGCAATGTGTAATGCGAACAGCTGGCTGAGCAGGTGATTCCAGGCTAGGAGCCACCACCCAGCAGGCCTTATCTGAATGTGAGCAATCACCAGCGGGCTGATACCTTTCGGCCCATTAACATTATCAAGTGATCAAGGAAGTAAAAATCTCTTTTCCATGAGGTCAAAAGTTCTCTCTAAAAGGTACTTACTTTCCTCATCCTCTCAAGTAACTATCGACAATAACGTTCTTAACATCTCATAGTTAGTGGTCCTAGTAGAGGAATCAAGTGGGTACCCAGTGGAGAAGAATGGAGATGTGTGTGCAGGTGTGTGTGTGTGTGTGTGTGTGTGCGTGCATGTATATGTGTGCATGCACCACCTGGAATTGAACCCAAGCTTCTGTGCATGTTAGGCAAACTTTATACTGAGCTACATCCCATTCTATCAGTGTTTTCTCCTCCTCCTCCTCCCTCTCCCCTTCCCTCCCCTTTCCCTCTCTTATCCTCCCTCCCTCCATTTCTGTCCCTTCCTCCTCCTCCCCTCTTCCCCTTCCTCCCTCTTCTCTTCTTCTCTAGCAACCATACTTGAGCATAACATGTATTAACACATAATGCACTTTAGTCGGAGGAAATATGTTCAACTTAATACCACGGAATAATGTCATTAAATCTGACTCAGCAACCTATATTTCCTAGAAGGAACTAATTTTGAGTCAAACTTAAAAAAATAAAACACAAAGATTCACAGGTGGTGTTGGAAGGAAGATGCAACAAGAGGAAATCCTTAATGAAAAAAACAGCTGAGAGGATGAGGAGATGGCCTTCGTGACAATCGAGCAAATGTCACACAGCCATGCGCTGGACAGGCAGGTCCGTCTGCAAGGCGACAGAGCGGGGAGAGAAACACCGCCACGCTGAGATCCTTCCGGTGACGATGCACTACTTTGGCAAAGCAAACCATACATGAAAACTGGCTGGCACACACCATCAGAAGCCAAGATAAGGGTGCCCAAAGGCTTTTGCTTCATTTCTAAATGAAGACACCAGGAGGGATGGGAAGGGCGATTTGTTCAATGTCACAACTACAGTGTGCCGAGTCCGGGAGACCAGGCCTTCAGCTCCAGGCTGCGTTGGTATCATCACCAGGACGCCCAGCACCTGTGCGCCTTCCCCCACCACCCTGGCATCTGTGGAGCTGAGAGGCTGTGTGTTCTGCATTACTAACAACTCCCCAGGCCAAACAGAGCCCAGCCCGCCCAGGACAGTGACTCAGGACCCCAGCCACTCCCGCAGGCCCCGCCCTGGACCCGCCCCCTCAGCAGCCACTCTGCCCCAGTTCTCACTGGGGATTTTGCTTCTGTCTCTTCTTGATTCCCTATTTCACAAGACAAGATTTTTATCTCACCCAAGAAGCTAGGCTAGAATTAGGAAAGAGAGATGCAATAGCATTCTGGTTAATGAGATTTGCATATTCAATACAATGGGAAGGAAGAACTCCGTTAATATGTACCACTGAATGCTATGAAGCAAACGTTTTGCTGCCGCAATCCTGGGCTCTACTGCTAAGCTGTACCTCTGTTGTTATTAGCCAGGGTCTCACTTGTTGCCTGGACATTCACCTGGACTGTGATCCTATTTCTCTCTCCCTCCCTCCCCCCCTCTCTCTCCCTCTTCCTCTCCCTCTTCCCCCCCCCAGCCCCCAGTGCTGGGTATAAAACACATGGCCTTGAGTATGCTAGGCAAGTGTTCTACTACTAAGCTATATCCTCAGCTCCCCCCAAAACCAATTTTAATGACAGATGACTTTTTAAAGTAATTAGGGGGGAATGTTCTCATAAGAGGAGTACACAGTAATTAACAATAGATGCATACATCATCTTGGAAAACTTGAGAGACAAATAATTACCTGGGAAAAGTCGTGCCAGACATTATCAGAGTTTACAAAGCGGAGCCAAATGAAATTATGTCAACCACACAGAGCAAAATAGAAAGGGGTTTAAAAAAATAGGCACTAAATTAAAATATATCCCTTTAGGGTACATGTAAGATAATGTTTATAACTGAATTTCCTCAGTGGTAAATTCTCAAACTATGAAGTTACACACAGACAGACAGACAGACAGACAGACACAGACACACACACACACACACACACACACACACACACACACACACACACCCCACGGAAGAAGTGATTCAAAATGACTTCCAAATGATAACTGCAAATAAATAAAATATGTGAAGTCATACTCTACTTAGAAAGCAAAGTGACAGAGAGGTCGCATCATTTAAATAAGAAATAAGAGCACAAATATTTGGGGAGTGACTCACTCATAATATTTCTAGCAAAAGCGAGCAAGATATAACACCGTTTTAAACGTCTTTCCAAGTTATGGGAGGTTAATTTGGTACTCTGATCATACTGCTTCGTAGATTGCATTCAACTTCTTTTCCCTGGTTTAATTTTTTTTCATAATACGGCACTTACTTTCCCAGTCCTTTATCTCAACTGCAAAACAAGCAGTGGCAGCGGATGGAAGCCTTTGCTGAGCTCACTTCTTCAGGTCTGTTTGCTAGTTTCTGGCCCTACTTGCTTGGCTGCATATCTCCACATAAAGTTTTACAGTGTTGATTACCAAAAGAATTTCCCTGAGGAATCTGGTGACAAGAAACCTTTATTCTATTCATCCATATCCAACTATTCACACACTTTATGAAAGAAAAGGAAGATTGTCTCTTGATAATGCTGTGACAATGCACTGAGGTACCAATAAGGAGAATTTACCCTCTGAACATGGTTGAAAAACTCTGTGTTCCTAATGACAGATACACTTCCCTTGTAAGGGAAGGGTAACAATACAGCCTTTTGAGTACTAATACTCATGCAAACCAGTTAATCTTTACAGAACAATGTGTTCTGACAAGTTTTTATTTCATAATAATATTTGCTTCTTCTTACTAACTTTGGGGGTATTTGTGTGTTGTTTTGCTTTTTTGCTTGAAACTGAGACTTGCAATGTAATCCAAGCTAGCCTTGAACTCACAGTCCTTCTACTTCCTGATCACTGGGGATAGCAGGTATACACTATAATGCCGGACTTCAAATGGCTCTTACTTTAAAATTTTCTTAGCATTTCATCCAGCAATGGGCTAAGTAATCTTAATTTTTAAAACCTGATTTAATAAAAATTTCGCCAGAGTAATAGATTCTTCAAAATTCTTTAAGTAGATATAATAACTCATAAAGAAACTTCTAAATATCTGAGAAATATATACATATTTCATATACATACATGACCCACTTAACCTTAATATTTGCTGGCCTATTCCCTGACGCTTTTGAAACTAGAACCAGCAGCGTTACCTGTTAGGATGTGCACTCAATTACTGTTAACTCGGTTTATAAGATCAAATCGTTCTCTTTTCAGCCTTAAATCTGTACATACTGCTTTGATTCTACAAGAGAAAAGCAGAATGTCTCATGGTTTTATAGCGTGGCCTTCAACATCCTCTGCTCGCTAATCCAAACGAGAGTTTCCCAGGAAACAATGACCAAGGAGAGGATATTGTTCTTTCACACTCGTTAAACGCATAGTGCTACACTGGGAAGAAAAGCTAGCCAAGAGGCGGCCACCGAGGCTCAGGTGCCACCTGAGCCTGGCCCCAAAGTAGGATGCCAGGTGATTCACATTCACCGTTGATATTGGAGCCGCGGTACACCAGGAGCCCACCTCGGAGCCCGGCTCGGGGACAAGGCCCTAACTCCAAAGGCTCCTCTGTAAACATCATCCCCTCCACTGATGCAGTCTCCCATCTGCCCTTATCACCAAGGCTCAGAAGCAACGTGCATTTCCCTAACAGAAATTAGCTAATGTCCAGGCATCTACAGCGTAGTCTCTGTAACCAATAGATAATTTACAGCTTTCTAAAAATCCCTAGTTTTGTCCAAACAGTTTAAAACTTGAGCTTGCACTGGAGAAAACTTTGCAGAATCTCCTGGGTTCTTTCTACGGTGCTCAGTACCAAAACCAAAACCAAAAGGCAAAACCTGAAAGCAAAGCCAGCAACAAAAGCCCATTCCAAAAATCGTCCATTAACCGACTGAAAGAGTATTTTTTAGTTTTAACTGAGCTCTAAAATAGAATCGGTGTGATGTGTAAGCTAACATAAATATTTAATCAAGAATACCAAGGCCTCAGAATGCTAAGTACTTCAGGAACTTTCTTCAGCACGTATGATGCTGTTGATTTTCCGTATAACTCAGAAAACAGCTAAGTGAAATTGTACCACTTCATACCCGAGTATGAACTGTTATCTAGACCAAGAACCAACCCTTAGTTCTGTTAGAAGGAAGTAAACTTCATCAGATGCAGTTCCTTTCGGAGATGAAGAGGATTTTAAGTGCCGCACACATAAACGTGTCCAGTCATCTTGGTCCCTGTCCACACACATTACCGCCATTATGGGGAGAGCATGTGCCACACTGGGACAGGTTCAAGATGGGAGCAGCTCACCCTTCCTTGAGCGCCTAGAGATCTACTTCCTGTGCGCGCCTAGAGCTCTACTTCCTGTGAGCGCCTAGAGCTCTACTTCCTGTGAGCACCGGCGTGGCCCACGTGCCCAGATTCTCTTATTAACCCAGCTACGATCCCGGGCACCTTGACCCGGCTGACATGTTCACCCCAGAATGGACGCAGCATTACCTTCCTGGCGTCCCTGATCATCTTGCGGACGGTCTCCTTGATGGTGAGCAGTTGTGCCCTGGGCGGGTGGAAGAGCAGCTCCACCTGCGTCCCACCCAGCAGCCCGGGCATCACGTAGGGCCAGCCCAGGTCCAGGTCGGGCGCCTCCACGTCCGACTCCAGCGGCCAGTACGTCCCTGATGACGACGTGTCATCGCAGGAGCCGTCGGTGCCCTGGGCTGGGCTCTGGACCAGCTTCTGGACGTGTCCTAGGATGTAGCTGACCTCTTCCTCGGCCAGGAAGTCAGACACGCGCTCCTTGGTCAGGAATTCTTGGTAGGCTTCGAGGCCATGCTCGATCAGCGTGTCCACCGCCACGCGGTACCACTCCTTGTAGTGAGGCTCGATGTAGTGGTCCGACTTGCACTCATCGTTCAAGGAGGACAGCAGCGACGAGGTCTCCATGCTGCGGGCCCTGGGCGTGTGCGCTCACACACGCGCTCACACACGCGCTCACACACGCGCTCACACGCCCATGCGGGAGCAGCCACGGGGCAGGTGCCTGAGGAGCTGGAGGGAAGAAAACAGCATCAGCTAGAATTCTGCACCCAGGTGCTCCATGGGGCTGGCCAACCCCCGTGTCCACACGTCTGATCCTTCCCATCCCTGGCGTCCAGACACACAGAACTCATCACCAAGAATCACTTGACCTCGCACACTGCTGATGAGGTGGGTTTTTTGTTTTGTTTTGCTCCTCTAAGACCACATGCCTGCCTTCTCTGAAGGCCAAGAAATCGTCTTCCTCAACCCAAAGCCTGCACCACACAGCAGCGCGAGTTTAACATGCACTTTTGGTTCAGACTTGAGAGAGAGAGAGAGAGAGAGAGAATACCTGATCAGCCTTCAGTATGTCTCTGCTGAGCAGCTGTTATTGACTGAACAATTCTATCATAATCCAGTAGACAAATGTGAAAAACAAAAAATACAAAACACCTGTCTTCCGGGAACTCACCAATTAGTTGAACTAGGCATCAAAATGTACACACAAAACTGATAGTTATCACCTTGACCAAAGCCATGTATAATTAATGGCCAAATGAATAGGCATCCACCCTCATTAATTGATGAGTGCCTGGAGCCACAGCTTTTCAAATAAAAGCAAGTGGACGTCTCTAAGGAATAGAGGGACTGTGGGTGGCCTTGTGGGGGAGGGCGGCAGGCACTGGGCCTCTGGGAAACCGTCCGATCGGATGGAAGGAAGAAATGCTGTCACTCCCTGCGAGAACAGAAAGGAGCGGGGCAAGCCTGGTATGCTGGAAAACAGGTTCCCTTTACTTGGTAGAGGAGATAAAGTTGAGCAGACAAAATGGCAACCAGTCCCCAGGGGCAGGAATCTGCCATCAACAACCATGGGTGCTGAAAACTCTCCCACAGCTAGAAAGAGGGTCCAGGGTTGAAGCACACAGCGGGAAGCCCACAGATGGGCACGGAAGGCTCTAAGGCTTGGAGATGGGCAGTGTAAAGACCACAGAGAAGCCAGAGGCACCGGAGGTAGCTCGGACATAGCGCTCTGGGATCACAACATGCCCTTCTGAACTCATGGTTCATAGTCACTGTGCCCACATTGTCAGTTTTGTTCAACCACTCCTGGCAGTTGCCCTGCGTGCATCGATGCTGGGCACAGGAGGGGCTCCAGCCCGAAGCCCTGCGGCTGGGCTCCCGGGAAACACAGCCCCACGCCCTGCCACCGGCACTGAAGTGACATCTGAGCAAAGGTCGGCCCCCTTTCTTTTTCTTTTTTTTTGTTAAATTTTATTTTATTTGAGAGCATACTGTACAGAGGGGTTACAATTACATGGGCAGGATAATGCATACATTTCTTACCAAGCATTGCAGCCTCCTTTGTTTACCCTTCACCTCCCTTCCCAGCCTCACCCCTCCCCCCCACCCAATCCCCCCCCCCCACACCGACATTGTAAAGCTGGTTTTGACATGACATTTTGTACTTCTCATTGTTGCAACAGGTCCACCTGAATCCTTAAACGACTTGTTTGTCCCCATCTCCTCCACAAGTTATACTGACATCAAATATAGTGAAAGCGGGGGTTACACTGTGGGGGAGGGACATACAAAGCAACAAAGAAATAATCTTATAAATGCATTAGAAACACATGCATGAAAGAAAAAAAAACATTAAAATACATATTTAAGGGATCGTATTCCTAACATCACATTATCTGACCTTTTCTGCTTGACTCATACATATACTAGATATTGCATATGAGGGAAACCGTGGGACCTATGTTTCTTTGGGCCTGGCTTACTTCACTTAATATAATTTTTTCCAAGCCTTTCCATTTCCTAACAAATGGGGCAATGTCATTCTTTCTGATGGAGGCATAGAATTCCATTGTGTATATATACCACATCTTCTTGATCCATTCATCTACTGAGGGGCATCTGGGTTGGTTCCATATCTTAGCTATGGTAAATAATGCTGCAATAAACATAGTTGTGCTGGTAGCTTTAGTGTGGTCTTGTTTGTAAACATTTGGGTAAATGCCCAAAAGTGGGATTGCTGGGTCATAGGGGAGTTCTATGTGTAGTCTTTTGAGGAACCTCCATACTGTTTTCCAAAGTGGTTGAACAAGTTTACATTCCCACCAACAATGAAGTAAGGTTCCTTTCTGTCCACATCCCCTCCAGCATCTGTTGTTGTTAGAGTTCTTGATTTTTGCCCTTCTAACTGGAGTGAGGTGATATCTCAATGTTGTTTTGATTTGCATTTCTTTTATGGCTAGGGATGTTGAACATTTTTTCATGTGTCTATTGGCCATCCTTCTTTCTTCTTCAGAGAAGTTTCTCTTTAAGTCTTTCGCCCACTTATTTATTGGGCAGTTGTTTCTTTGAGGATTTGTTGTTGGGGGGTTTAATTTTTTGAGTTCCAAGTATATTTTAGATATGAGACCCTTGTCCGTTGTATGGCTAGGTCGGCCCCCTTTCTAGCCCTCGGGGAAACTCATTCTGCAGACTTCAGCTGTGAACATTCCCGCGTGACTTAGGAGGGAAGCCGTGCCATTTGTAACTCCTGAACTCAAAATGCTCCATTTGCTAAACATGCAGAGCTTTAGGGTTTGCTGGGGTGCGGGAATCACCCCAGTGTTCACATGAAAAACCCCACAGTCCCTTTCCATTGTTCAGGTGGTAATTACTGGGTGTTCATTATTTTTTTAAAAAAGTCCAATTTTCTGGGCACTTATTTTTTCACTTGCCCTTTAAAACTTAATTTTTAATTTCCCATAATATGTGATATCTGAAGTTGTTTTGGAATTTTAAACATATAAAGTGCTTTAATTATGTTATTCATTCTGGAAGGTTATCTATGCAAATACTTGGCAAGTATAAAAATTTCAGCCCTGAACTACATGTACAAATTGAGAAATCAGAGATGAGAAAAGGATGATGAAAGCAAAATATGGGGCTGGGAAGGTGGCTCAGTGGTAGAGCGCTTGCCTTGCATGCATGAAGCCCTGGGTTCGATTCCTCAGCCCCACATAAGCAGAAAAAGCCAGAAGTGGCCCTGTGGCTGAAGTGGTAGAGCGCTAGCCTTGAGCTGAAGAGCTGAGGAACAGCGCCCAGGCCCAGAGTTCAGGCCCCATGACTGACCAAAAAGAAAGCAAAATAAAACCATGCAATCTTATGAAAAGTTAATTGTGAAGAAAAACAAAGAATTTTTAAAAAATGAAATTCTATGGGTTTAGTGAAAGAGTCAATCCCAGAAGCCCTGCAGAAAACGTGTGTGATAGGAAAAATGTAAAAGCTGAGAACACAGATGGAGGATCTCATGAATAAGGCTGGAGACAATAAATGTCCTTGGCAATGTCCTGCGCAGTGGGCAGCCTGGGCAGCCGTTTAGAGACTCTGATTTATCACAGGAGCTGTTTACAAGAATCACTTATGAAAGGAACATCTACCAAGAATTTTTAACAGAGAATGACAAGCAATATCACTGTCATAAATAAAGAGTTCAATAAAATAGAACCTGTACTTAGCTCCAGAAGGGATTTCAGCGTCAAGAGAGCCACTGAATATTAGGAAAGTTTTATTAGAGGACAAAATTAATTAGGTGTGGTATTAAACTTATAAAACCAAGGAGTCATCTTATTAATAACTATTAGTTACTCCTAGGAAGTATATATTCTTTTAATGTGGAGTTAATGAGAAGAGAGAAATAAAAATCTCACTCTAATAAGAAAGCTGAGCAGATCACTTTCCAGATGTGACTCATTCCAGGAAAAAGGAAACTTGCTATGAAACTCCGTGGCTCACTCAAGCACCAGTGACTAACGCTTTGTTCCTGGCTATCTCTGGAGGCTGAGGTCTGGAGGATGGTAATTCAAGGTCAGCTTAGGCAAAACAAACAAAAAACAAAACAAAACATTCCACTAGAGTCTATTTCTAAAGTATTCAGCAAAAAGCAGTGCTGGAGGCAGGGCTCAAGGCCTAGAGTGTCAGCTGAACAATGAAACTAAGTGAGTGTGAGACAGGAGTGTGATACCACTACTACAAACAAAAAAATCAGTAACGGAACACTGACAGCTCACGCCTGTCATCCTGGCTGCTCAGGAGGCTGAGATCTGAGGATCACGGCTCAAAGCCAGCCCAGGCAGGAAAGTCCGTGAGGCTCTTATCTCCAATAAACCACCAGAAAACCGGAAGCGGTGCTGTGGCTCAAGTGGTAGAGCGCTTTCCTTGAGCTGAAGAGCTGAGGGAGAGCGTCTAGGCCCAGAGTTCAAGCCCCGTGACCCACCAAGTGCTGTCTGAAAAAGGAGGGGAGAGGAGGGGGAGGACATAGATTTGTTCGAAGTACACCATATGCATTGTGTAAATATCACAATGAACCCCTGCACGGTGCAAATGTATGCCAACCGGTCTTCATAAATACCCTCAAACCAGCTTAGCGATTTGCACACTGATGTCTTGTGAAGACTACAACTTGGACACAGCCGGATGGAAGCGAGGCACAGGACAGGACGGGGTGTGGTGGGGAGGGGGAGGGGGAGGCACAGTTTGGGGTGTGGTGGGGGGAGGGGGAGGCACAGGACGGGGGGGGAGGGGGAGGGGGAGGCACAGTTTGGGGTGGGGAGGGAGGGGAGGGGCCATTCTGTCATCTTCCAGGTCCACTGTTGTGTTTCTGGCCAGGCAGGACCAGCCTCACTACTCTGCTGGTGTGTGAAGGTTAACTAAGCGATATTAAGCACACCCACAGCCAAATGCAAAACGAAAATGAGAGGGCCCACGGCTGCCGCCACCATCCGCTTTCACACCAGGAAGAAATGCTTGCAACGCGCAGACCAGTAAGACCAAAGGGCCAAGTCCTAACCAGAGGAAATTCTACCGAAAACCAACAGAAAACGAGGATGCCTTTCCCCAGGAGCCATTCCACTGGTGGGGTCTTATTTTCCCATTC